GGTATGTCTTTTTTTTTTTTCATATATACTACCTGTTAATATCTTCTTCCCCACTCATTTCCATCTAAAACAAAGAAGAAAAAAAGAGAAAGGTGAACGTTGCATGTCGATTACTTGGTTGTCCACTTGTCGTGAAGTTTGAACGTGTAAGATCTCAATTGTTATTACTGGGTCATTCTGGTATCATTCCCATTTATTCTTGTCAGAAAAATGGGAAGAAAGCCATATTTCAAACTTCTTATGATCAGTAAAAGACCATCTTCATATGCTGGCAGTTAAATGACAGATAATAAGTTGAAGGATGTTGTTTATATATATTACGCAGTCGGGTTGTTGCAAGCCTCCAGCATACTGTGGATTCGAGTCCAAGAATGCAACTTTCTGGACAATGCCGGAAACAGGGCCAGCCGTGCCGGACGCCGATTGCAGGACTTGGAGCAACGTCCAAACGCAGCTCTGCTTTGATTGCCAATCATGCAAGACAGCATTCCTTGACAACATCAAGAAAGAATGGAAGACTCTTGCCATCATCAATACTTGCATCCTCGTCCTTGTGATTGCCGTCTACTCGGTTGGCTGCTGTGCACTGAGAAACAACCGGAGGAGCAAAGGATACGCTAAGCACAGAGGAGGATACCTTTGACCTCTCCGACTGTGGCTGGCGCTCTCTGTGGTTGTTTCTGTTGTTCAACTCAGTCTGATTTCGTTATATCCATTGGTAGATTTCTTTGCTTCTTACTGTTATCTTGTATCTGCTTTGACTTATAATCAGGATAATGATGACACTTGCATAAACGTTCTTTTCTTGATTGTTGTCACAGTCGGGTGCATGTCGTATAACAGCAAATTGATTTGGCAATATGCATTTCCGGCAACTGCTCGAAGGATTGTATCTCTATAAATCGAATCTAGATTACACATGGGATTCCCTAATTCTTATGATTGCAAGTTTGGCCTTTCAACTTCCTTATTTGTTATTTATTTTTTTGGGTCACTTAGGAACTGCTTCAGATTTAGTGTGTCATAAGCGAGGAGGATGAATATGGCGGTTTGACTTGCTTTTACTGCAACTAACCTGCCTCTGATAGACAGCCCCGAAGGGATATAAACTGCTATCCTTCAGATGGGAATTAAATTCCCCATTTACAGTAGAGTAGAATACGAAGAATAGATTAAATTCCCCATTTACAGAGATTTTTTTTTTTTGGAAAAGTGGGGGGCGGGGGTGGTGTAATTGTATTTCTTTTATTATCTATTTATATTTTACACCATCCTCTGGGCAAGATGATCCGAGACTTGTCTCTGCACCCATGATTACCGCAAGAGCGATTGCAACGGCAGACCAACTGGTGCTCCATAGCAAGCAAGATCTAGAGCAACCGGAAAGCCTTATAAATCAACTACCATTCCCTATTAACCTCCACATGACAAATACTAATTTATTAGAAATTAAATTGAATTGTCAAATATGAAAAACCTAAAGAACTTCGGATGGATAAACCTGATATTGTATACCTGTATTGATATCTTTAATACTCTCAAATCAACAAAGTACAATTAGAGTAAATTTCAACTGGCCAAGATAACAAGCATGACTGACATGTATCATTGGGATCAATGAATGACGTTAGAATTTGCCTCATGGATGACCATCTGATGACACAGACGCACAAAAATGGATAAAGATGTGATTGATATGACCACGTTGGTTCATTTGATTACACTCAAGACTTACTTGAGGAAAGTACAAGCTAAAAACAAGGACAAATACACTACGAGTGAGGTAAGGAGTTCCAGTGTCCAAGTTGGATGTACCAAAACCGTTGGAATCATGGGAGCCAATAATGAACCCAAGAACCAACCAACAAAAAGAGCCAAAAATCTGCAATGGGGAAAAGAAACTTTTCAGTAACATATGCATAAAAAGGAGTTAATATTGTAGGGGTATTGCAATGCGATAGAAATTATCTGGCTCTTGCAAACTCACCCGGTAATGCCAGCTCTAAACAAGCTCTTCATCTTGTCATTGAGGAAGTATATGCATGCTGCCAACGATATTGCAACCTGTTTGTCCAGACATATATCATATCTATAAGAAAGACCTTCAATCTTCAATTTTACTGGCAAAAGAGTTTTAACCAAGAAGATTTGTGATATTCATTCCCAAAAATAAACATCATGATGGTCTCATCTTAACATGATAATAAGCCCACTTGTTATTTCCTACAGGAAGAGTAGTCAAATTGTCGCTTCTTGTGAGAAAATAAATGAATTCATAGCAGATTTATAAGTTTACTTCCTTTTTAGATCTCTCTGTCTCTAAGGAATAATAAATTCAGAAAGATTTCATCGACTTGACGTCAATGATAAAGGATAACCATTGTCCATTTAGACAAATAAGAAAAGTTAGTGCTGTTCTAGCAGTGCAACCCCAAAAATTTCATGAAAGTGCCCAGATTCAAGCTTCACGTGACCCATCCTCAACCCCTGGAAAAGATCAAATGTTTTGAAAATGAAAAGAAAAACCTACCCAGCCATACTCGGAAGACTTTTTCTCAATATTCTACATTATCCTTTGTATTCAAGTTTACCCCTTTTTCTTTCATTTTATTACTTAATTCTGAAGCCAAAACTCTGATGAAAGAGCTCTTTGAGATGGGTAATTCGTCTTTATCCAGTTCCTTGGGTTCATTGCCTTTTATAATGTCTATAATAACAAAACAACAACAAAAAAAGGACAAAACCCATATGATAATTGATCTTCATATACTTTACCAGGTTCATGCTACTTTTAAGCAATCCCAACCACAGGTTTCATGGTCAATGAGTTACTATAAAAACCTTAGTGTTGTACCCCATTTTTATCAAGGTTCATGTTTTTAAGGTTGCCATACCTGTAACATCAGTAGCAAAGGACAACATGCAGATTGTATAACTTTTCAGACATATGGCAATGGAAACCAAGAGATGAATTTCTCTTATGTAGACAGAGAAAATTAACTTAAACTTTGCCCTAATCATCTTTTACACACTCATTTATATTAGCTAACCAGCATTTTCCAAGTCACACAGTACAACAGTTGTGGTGCCTGCAATAAGGATAAGAGAATTAAATTTCCTGTAAAAGAGTATGCAGGATGTAGTCAACAAACCTGGAAGGCTGGTCCAGCATCAGCAGAATTCAACACACTCCAGCATGCCATGAATCCAAACAGGAACAACCTCCTCAGAATAATCACACCAGGAGGAAGTTCAACATAATTAAGCAGGTTCTTAACCCAAGGTGGAGATTCTTCCACTTTCTTCTTTAGCTGGCTCTTCAAGTTGATTTTAGTCTTTTTCCTATTCCTAAAGCTAGCCATTAGTATTCTCTCAAAAGCAGCTTCAATTGACTCAAAACTCCTCTCATGTTCGGCATATTGACTCAACAAAAAGTTGCGCGCACTCCATACTTCCTCCTCGGAAGCATCCCTACGTATACCTAACCGCTTGAACGGGTCCCAGACATTAATCCTAGGAAATTTTGAAATATTACCTGCAGATACAAGAAACTCTCCTTAATAATCCGAACCCATTAAAAAGGGTTCAACATTTAAATCGTGGTTCTACTTAAAAGCAGAGTCTCCACTGAAAACTCAACCTCAAATACCTTGACAAAGAAAATGAAGAAGACGGGAAAAAATATAGCATCATGAGCATTTCCTAGCTAAGCATAAATTTACGCTTACACGTTCCCAAGTAAAAATCAAAAGAAACGCAGCTCAAAAAAATTTGCTCAAAGAAGAATTCCAATAAATTTAATGCCCAAAAGCTTCCTTTTTTTCCCAATGAAATTCGTCAAAATCAACAACTTTGCCAGCCCATATCCATCAATAAGCTAGAAATTTAACAAGTACAGGGAGAAAAAAAATTTCTGTAATAATAAGTACGTCACCTCCAAATGGTGCATCGACTGCACACCTGGGGCTCCTAGAATTCAACAATCTCGGCGGAAGCGTCCAACTCGAACTCTTCTTCGAATTTACTCTTACTCTATGAGTTGCACTAAAATTACAAAAAAAAAAAGACAAAAAATTAAAACTTTTGATAAATAAACCTCAAAATCCTTTGGGGAATACTGTAAATAACTAAAGGAGCTGATAAGTGTTGAAAGCTTACAGTTTCTGGCCGAGAAAAGGAGAGGAAACGGTAGCTTTAGAGGAGAGAAGAGTTGTCGCCATCAGAAATTATCCAGTTTTTTTATCAAATTTATGTGGAAAATTATTAGTATGAATTTTGGGTAATTGAGGAACCCTAATTTCAGCTGAAAAATGAATGGGACGCCATAGAAGCCAAAGAGGGATAGAGGGAGGCCTCCGTTTGGCGGCACAGGGAAAGAGAACTAGCTCTTCGACGCTTCTTGGCTTTTCTAATACCAGGCGAAGCGCTTTTCCCTTTTTTCCTTTTTCTTTTTTTTTTTGGGTCAATTTTTTATTCTTTTGCTTCCGTTTCCCATTTTATTTTTGGGAGATAATAATAATTACACTAATTTAATAGAAATTGATTTTTTTTTTTCAGGAAAAAGACATTTGGGAAAATAACACCATTTGTTCCAGAGGTTAATATAATGTTTTTAAAGATTTTATTATCCAAAAACAGGAAATATAATTTTTCGTTATTTACTCAATTCCTTCTCTTTTTTTATTTTCTTTATTAAAACAGTGAATGTACCTTTTTGATGGAAATAAGGTCAGGGACAAAGAGCATTAGGCTTACTTAAATTTGATATTTTGAAGGATTGTACACTTCACAGCTGTAGAATAATTTAATCTACAATTTTGGGCTTATCTCACGTACGTCATATCAAAATATCAAACAATTTAAATTTATTTCATTGACCGGTCTTTTATCTCACATAGTAATTATTTGGAATAATACTCTATCTAAACAAAGCCAAGCTTGTTATCTCGGTTGGATCAAAATCATTTTTAAAAAAAAAATCTTATCAGTCACCTGTTTGAGTAAACAGTGATTGGTCTTTTCATGAACAACTCAAAATCATTTCTTGGAACAAATTGCACCTTGTAGTAAACTGTTTATTCTATGTGGACAAAGGTGAAGTTGTTTACTAAAGACACAGATTCTGTACTTTCTGTTTTCTGGTCAAGTTCTTGGGAACACAAATATTTTGTACATCACAATCTTGAATTTTCACCCTGAGTGAACTGCTGCCTCAAAACCCTTCTCATAACCTTGTTTGTTGCAGTTCTTGGAAGGGAAGGTAGGGGAATGATGTTTGAAACCTGCACCATTGGTACATTAGTAGGAAACACAACTGGTAGTAAGCTTGTCACCACCAATGTCCAGGATTTTTACCTTGAATAAAGGATTCAGTTTCTTCTGCAGTGCTGAATTGAAAGACTGCATCAGCGTATTTATGTCGGCTGTGGAGCTGTCTGGATCCTTGAATACAATGGCAATCGCCAGTCTCTCAGGGCCGCCGCCAGGAGGAGGCACCCCAACAGCTGCTGTCTCTACAATATTACCATCTACTGCATTACAAATGCGCTCTATCTCCACTGAACTCACCTGAGAACATAAAAGTATTTTAAGCCAACTAGGACGAAAGGAAAATCGTTACGTGAGTACCTCGATTCAGAAACTAGTCAAGAGCAAAGATGCAAGAAAAGTTGAGATATACATGTAGCAGTAACAAAATAAATCTTAGTATAATTCAATTGTATGAGGCCAGATGGAGACCTTGATGCCACCAAGGTTCATTGTATCATCAGCACGACCATGAGCATGATAATATCCTTTAGAGGTACGCTCAAATACGTCCCCGTGCCTTCTTAACACCTGTATAAAACGAGCAAAAGGTAACAAAAATAGATTTACAACCTGCAAGGATGGAGAAGTAATATAATTCTTCAATACCTTTCCATTCCAAACTGGCATTCCCTTGAAGTAAACCTCATTGTGGTCTGCATTCAGAAGAGTGCTTGAAGCTCCAAACATGGTCGGACCAAGGGCCAACTCTCCAGTGCCCGCAACGTTAGATGGCTACCAGAGATGGTTAAGAATGTTAGATTTTAGGCAAGGTCCTATAAATTGTAACAACCTTGTTCATCATGGAATTTATAAACCAGCAAACGTGATATAAAATTCTACTTTTTTAACTTGTGGATAATCTTAAGCAGACAAAAGACTCGAACTGTTTCAGTTTATTCCGCTTTTAATGATGTGTATCAAGGAGGAATTATGAAACTTCACAGTAAAAACATAATACTCCCCTTCAACAATTACAGACTTTAATAGCAGATCCTGCTACCTTTGTTAACCTTCTCATCTCTCCCCTCTTTCTTGCTCTCAGACAACCCCCCAAAACCACAAAATCACCATAATGTCAATTTTCATCTATAAAATATCCAATTTGGCCCTGCCAAAAAAAGCGCAGTTGCACACATCAAACAAATTCAAATCGGGTACTATAATTGAACATCAGAATATAGAAAGGCTGCATGCTCAAGTTGAATCAGCTGATATTTTGACCATGAAGAGTTGAGGTTAACTCCTGCTTACCAGAGGATAACCATCTTCCCCAAGAATAAACAGACTACACCCCATTGCTGCAGTGCTAAAAGCTGCCAAACATTGAGGCTGTACCAAGGAACCAGAAATAAATCCACCACCAATCTCTGTACCACCACAATACTCAATAACAGGTTTGTAACGAGCTCTTCCCATCAACCATAGGTATTCATCCACACTCGATGCCTCCCCAGTAGAGCCAAAGCAACTGTTGAAGTGTCCATAAACAAAATTGAGCTAAGGAAACCAACTCCTTTATGAATGAGTGATCTCAGAGGTGCTACCTAGACTTACCGGATGGATGACAAATCATAGCTAGCAGTAGAATTTTTGGTCTTCCATGTCCTTACAATGCTTGGGATCACGCCTAGCATAGTCACTTTAGCATCCTACACAAATTGCATGAAATCCTATAAGCAGAAGATGACAAACATGTTTCAGAAATTACACAACAAGACAATTTGTGAATTTAAACTAAACCAAGTGAGAAAAGGTGCAGGCAAGACACCAGACACAGATTTACAAGTCAATTACTGGACTGTTGACCATTTTGTAAATCATACGGTCTTTAAACTAGTCAATCATTGTATAAAATTAGGAGACTGCAGCTGTACATTTTCTTAATTCTCATGTGACTCAATCAATTTTCCCACTTCTAGCATCAGTCTTCGAACTATGAGTATAACAATTGGTTCCTTCCAGCAACCAGAAACAACCATGAAATTTATTATGCACAGCTCCTTACCCCAGCTATACACGAATCTAATTCCTTAACCAAAGCCATGGGATCATAGAAAGATTTTGAAAATTTGAACCAGATGCCTGGCTTGAGTCCATGCCTTATGATAGGTACATATTTGACTTGAGAAGTGGAAATCAAGGACACTGACATATGTAAAGCCAACTCAATCAATTCCAAACTATAAATGAAAAAACAAACAGCTCAAAGTTTTCGGGTACAATGGAAATTAACAGGTCATTGAACTATACAAAATCAATGAGAAAAAAAGTCCAACCCTAAATAATGGTCTCTACCTGTATAAACTTGGCAAATCCAGAACCAAGAGGAGATCCATTATATAAAGCCATGGAAGCACTATTCAGAAGTGAAGCATAAACTAGCCAAGGACCCATCATCCATCCCAGATTAGTCGGCCAGGAAACAATATCTCCTTCGCGGATATCCATGTGGCACCATCCATCAGCAGCAGCTTTCAGAGGTGTAGAAACAGTCCAAGGAATTGCCTTGGGATCACCTAGAACATAACATAGTATGCTAAGCATCTAGTCAACATCTTATCTCTCAACTTTTTCCACTGCATTACAACATGAATAACATATTTTGTTCATCAACTGTTACTTTGTGCCAGTGTTTCTATTGCTGAATAAAGTAATTAAAGTTAAGCTTTATGACATACTAGGTAGCAAGTCCACTAAAAAGCATCAAGATGGGAAAACAGGTTCCTCTATGGAAGAGAACAAGGTGAAGAAGAAAGAGAAGAAGTTGATCTTCTGACCATAATTGTGGGCAGCAACACATTTATTCTGGTACACATCCCCCAAAAGACAAGCTGACTTAAAACACCCTTATTCTATAAACAACCATGGAATCACTTAATTTTGTGCGTGTGTGTGTGTGTCACAGAGAGAGAGAGAGAGAGAGAGCGCACTAAAGTAGAAGACAAACAAACTTCAGATCTTGATATTAACTGATTTCTGTTGTTGGATATCATGCAAGTTACTACCTTGGTATATACAGGACAGAATTTTAATTACCAGTTGTTCCAGAAGAGAACAGAATATTTGTGAATGCTTTGATTGGTTGCTCAACAGCAACAAACTCAACTTCTCTGCAATTACAACAATAGAAGCAACTGTAATAGTTCAGAGTTTTACTTGGTAAGTAAATAAAATGGAAATTGCTAAACTACAATACTTTCTCAATCCTGTTAGCCATTAGTTGGTTCTTATATGCATGTAATCTTACATCTCCAGCAACAAATGATTGAAAAAATAGTTTGAGAAAAATTAACAAAAGCCCCCAAAGATCTCTAAATGTTAATTGTAGCCTTTGAAATAAGACGTGCCAAAATATTTAACCACATAATTAACAATTTTCTGTCTCAAGTGACAGGTCAGAATGTTTTATTGCCAACGTTTTATTGCCTCAATGAGCCAAAATATTTGAACATTGAATTCAAATTAAATCCAACCAAACAATGGTAACTTATTCTCTTTTTGATACTGTCTCACAAGATATGAATTGAGAGCAGACTTGGGTTTGTTTCAATTGCGCTTTAGAAACATGGTAAAGATATATCCCCAGTGCTCCACGAGAGCAGGTACTTACTTTGACCCTTCAGCCCTGTTTAGAAAATCCTGCCAAGAAATGTCACCAGCACGTAATTTCATGCTGAAACTGGAATCTCTAGTAGGAATTACAATTGCCATAGGAGCTTGAGCATCAACAACTCTACTGCAGAGTCAAACACATTTATGAGGAATAATAGTAAGAAAAGTAGGAAAACACAAACAAAGAAGTAACAGGTCACCTGTACAATGGTATTTTTCTATCACCACGGAGAATGAGATCCTGGGAAAAGTCATTGGCTACATTAAAATTATGCAAGAAAATAGGAATCCCATAAAACTATTTAGACTTGGAACAAAAGGAAAATGTATTGTAAGATTATCCAGAATCTGAGATTAGTTCCAAAATGTATAACTCAGAAGTCATCTTTACACTAATGTTACTCAAAATCTCCAAAATGGAGGTGTTAAGTTTACTAGACCTATCACAGGGAGAACAGTTATGCTGCTGGGATAACAAGTGCTTAATAAAATAAATTACTAACAGATTACAAAATTATTGTGAAAAAGCCTGCTGCATCCCCTTTAACCAATCTTCTCTGTTTGTCCTTATCATACTGTGGTAAACAAAATACTGTTTTGCAATAAATTCACTTTTATGACCATTGACACAATAATTTCATCAAACTCCGCTACCTACTAGAAAACAAAAAAGGTCTGTTCAGATCAAGCACATAATTCAACTAAATACAACAAACTGAAGAATGATCTTTTAATGGTCTCACCTGAGTGAAAATTGCTTTGGCATTTGATAACTCGAGCCTCGTAGATATTTCACTTGGGGCAAAACTATCAGCAATTGATACCACTACATAACCAGCTAGCACAATGGCCAAATAGATCACCACAGAATGCGCATCCATGGGCATATCTATAGCAATTGCAGATCCTTTATCCAACTCCAGTCTTTCAAGTGCATATGCAACTAACCTATAGAAGAGTTGCTAATAAGATATAACATTACTGATACTTCACTTGTGACAGATTCTTTGCAATGTATAAGCTACATATAGACATTACTAATTTTCAATTCTGAACTATTCACTATTCTTTGGTACAAAAAGCTGAAGTTAGGAAACAAAACATCTCTCAATCAATAAGGAATCTTGGTCTAATTCACGGCAGCTTTACAGAAAGATGGTATGTAAGAATAACCTATGCCCAATCTCAACACATGGTCCCCTACCAGTAGCCGCAACCTCAATTCTAACAAAGCAAAGACTTACATATACAACTGGAGCTTAACTTCTACCACTACATATAATCTTCAAGTGCAAAAAGCAATAGAAAACCAGCTACTTTAGCCCCTGTAGAACCAAAGTAAGTACTTGCACATGATGTGGTGCCTTTATACACTCTTCAAGTAGCTTTTTTAGCAGTCAGTTCCCATTCTGCTAAAGTGAAATATTTGTCCGTGTAATTTCATTGCTGGATTATGCAGGGTTGCCACTAACAAATTACAAAAAGTGCTCCAAGTATTTTGTTTTTCCATCCTTAATCTTCACACCATGTGCATTTACCTCCTTCCAGTGTACAATTAGGTATTGAGAGATTTATAATCCTAAACATTCTTCTTCCAAGGTAGTAGTTCATACAAGCTGAATGCAGGATGGCCTACATCCTATGTGAAGTTTGATTTGCAGTGATACTACAAATCCCTACCTTCTGAAATAAATCCCAAGGAAAAGCCTCAATATTCGATTGAATATACAGAAGCAAACAATTCAGAAGTGAACTGATAAAGTGAAAGAACAATAGCATACCACACTCTTGAGCGCAACTCCATGAGAGTCATCTTTTGAAGGGGCAATTCATCATCTCCTTCATCACGCCATAATATTACAACATCATCCAGATTCCTCTTTTTATTTACATTTAAACAATTCTTTGCTGGATTTATGTAGGCTCCCGGAAGCCATTGACCACCAGGACAAGACGAATTCTCAACTAAAATACGTTCAGGAGAAACAGAGAAAGATATATTCATTTCATCAAATATAGCTTTCCAGTATACCTGAGATCCACAGGAATACAGGAAGAAAAATAAGAATGCACACATGCCTACACAAAAAGAAGAGAAAGGAAATTGACAATGCAGGAGCCAAGGATTTGAAGGTTAAACGATGCTATCAGAAAGCATAAAGTCACCTCTGGGTTGGAAACTGAAAATTCCTGAAAGTCAGAAAAGCTGGAAATAGGGTCTCTATATTTTGATCCCAAAAACTCTTTTCCACGGCTTTCCAATAGCTGTCCAACATTCGTTAACTTTGCATTGTTCCTGAGTCAGAAAAAAATAGTATTGTCATTAAATTTTCTGAAATAAAAGAAAAGTAAATGATTCTCTAAATAATTTCAGGATTGGAGCACTGATCCAACATTATGGATAAAAATTAATCTTCAACCATTTGGCCTCCAAACCTTGTAAACTATTGAAACAAAACTCACTTCAGCTTTCAATATATTCCTTCCATTCTAACAATAACCTCGTTAAGTCAACAGACAAGGATTTTATTATGAATTTCAGGATAAGGTAGTAATACACAGCTGTATTTAACTATCAGTCTATAATCAATGGCCTAGATGTTTTCTAAATTGTCGACATCAAAGTCACACAAAATTTCAATCTTTTTGTTTTCTAATCGTAGCCAAAGTGCCATTTAGCCAAAAAAAAAAAAATGCAAAGAATCTATTTTTACATAAATTTCCGACTAGAAGTGTATTCAACTGCTTTATATAGCTATAAGGCTGTATCAATGACCTTCCAATTTTCCAAATTATTGTCATCAAAGTCACACAAAGTTTCAATCTTTTTCTTATTAAAAAATGCAGAAGAAGATTAAAAAAAAACCCAGTCATTCTTTATCAAAAAATTCAGCGTAGAAGTACTAGTGTGATGCTACATGCTACTATCACCCCACAATCAATAACCACCTCCAAGTTTCCTAATTTTGCCATCAAATCATCCAAAGTTTCAATCTTTTTCTTCTCTCATCACAACAGATGTTTCACTAACTAAAATATTTGCACAATCAATAAACAATACATGCATCTCTTCACATGATTAAAGATACCAAATGTTCATCAGAACCCACAAAATTCCAAGTCATAAGAAGCATTCAAACAGAAACAAAGGCAATACGAAAACATACGGGTCAGGCAACCAAGCGGGCGGGTTGGGTCCGAAATCCTTGTAGCAGCCATGATACATCATCTGATGGAAAGAGAAGGGAAGGTCCGGGTTTAGAAGCTGTTTGGAGATATTTTGCCATGTTTGAGGAGTGGCAGCTCCGCAAGTATGAATGATTTCTGTGAGTTTTTCCTGAAGTTGTTCTGCTTCTTCTTGGGATATACCCAGAGATACAATATCAGAGATGGTGATTGAATCCAAGGCTTTGTAATTCTGAGCCATCCTTTTCTTTTTTTTCTTAACTAAATTCTCTTATAAACTGATGACATTCCAGAAATTGAGGATTCACCTACGAATGTTTGCAGTATTTGTGTGATAGAGTCTACTGTTTACTCAAACAGGTGACTGATAAGATTTTTTTTTTTTTGGGTCCCCAGGGTCTGAGTGACTAAAAGAGTAAAAGGTTGGCTTACTGGGTTTTTCTTTTCTTTTCTTTTTGTTTTAACATAGTAATAAGGTTGATAATTAACTTAATTTTGATAGAAATTAAGGTACTAATCCACTAAGTTTAATTGCAATTTCAAAATTAAGAGGTTCTAGTCTAGTAAATTTATATGCAAGTTCACCCTGTTCCAGAACATCTTGGCTCTAGACATCTGATTTATAGTAACTATTGAATATCTAATTTTCTAGAGAAGATGAAGATCTTCACCTACAATGCTGGCTTTAAGTCTTAATTTTGTGAATTTACTTTATCACAAGAATTATCATGGTTCTTCATGCACACATTCTTCTGAATGTTGTGGACAAATCAGGGAAACCATATTTTGTTGTGTTTGATTGATAACGTAGTACCACCTTTTTGTCTGTTCTTTCATTTGGACAGCCTACTAATTCAGTATTTTGCCATTTTCCACCAGGTAGGTGCAACTAACACGCCATCCACGAGTCATGATTTATGAGTTTGTTCCGTAGGTTTTTTGGCCTGCCAACTGCCTGATTAGCTTTCATTACCCTCCGCCCCCCTGGAAGAAGAGAGAGAGGGGGGGGGGGGGGGGGTTAGAGGTTTATTTGAAAGCCATTCAAGCAATGGTAATACTGCCTACTGCCAAGTATTACATTTACATGAGCTTTGGTAAACTTGGTGTAAACCCCAGTCACAAATTTTTGAGAGATGAGGCCACTTGGACACTTGTAATTTAACAAAAGCTGAATGATTTCCTTGGGAACTTGGAAGGAGTAGTTGTAGGCAAGAAGCAGAAATTCTAATAAGACTTCATTGAGCATGAACTGATAAGTTACTATGACGAACAAATTTTACAGGAAATTACTCAATTTACAAAAAGCGTGACCATGAAGAACACCACACTAGGATCATGGTCTAATCGCGTTTGCAAGCCCAAAAGGAAGTCAATCAGAACTTCCCGGAAGCAATTTGGCTGAGCCTGTCGTACCTAAACGTCTGGCAGAAGCAGGGATAATTCTGGATGGTGATATGACTTCAGCAAAGGATACATTGTAAGAATCTGCTCCAAGCCGACTCTGCAACCACCCTTTGCTTCCAGAGAAGCCATCAGCCACAACCCAGGTGTTCTTGAAGCCAAGATTCGTAAGTGTTCTTGCAACTATCTTAGCAGCATCTGAGTACCTGAAGATTTCAGGGATCAAAAGCAGCTCAGTGATGGAAAGATCATATCCAGGCGTGCAGGTATGAATGAATTGCCAATGTCTCCCTCTATGCAATTCAAACATGTTTGAGAAGTTCTAAGCAAGGATAGGAGAAACTTACGAGTCCATGATGACAATGTTGGAACCTTTATTGATCTTCTTGAGATATGAAATCTTTAAAGCCACCAAGTCAGCTTCTACTTTCTTTACACTTCTCACTAGACTTTTTAGCTTGCTAGGTAATTCTTCCAATCTGGCACAGTCATGGAAATGTCGCCTTATTCCTAGTCATGAAACATTGCTCACAAGTACTGATACTTTTCTTTTTTTCAATCAGAATACGATTTTATCACAGAGAATAGAATATCAACATTCTGAAGCAGTAAAATCATTTTCAGGCACTTTAGTTGCACCAAGGAAGACCGTCTAATGAGCTATTAAATAGAAAAGAAAGCAGCCAATTACTGAAAAACGTTGCCGGGTAATGTTAATTAAGGGCCACATAAACTAGTGGATGAAGTAATAAGTATAGTTTACTTACGGAATTGAGACAATTTTGCTTTTAGCACTTGATGGAAGGCGAGGAACTCCAGCTTTGTCCTTATCCTTCACCGGTCTAATATCAATCAAAATGTAATTCTTGGTAGACATTAGATCCAGTGTCTGAGTAGGAGTCAGATCACCTGTATAACAATATTTTCAAATCAATATTTAACTGATAGTGATGCCTAAGTGCATTCAGACAGCACATTTAAAAAAGTACCAGATATCCTTATCAACTCTTTCTTTCAAAAAGCTAGGATGTACAAATAGATACGTTGATGAACATCAATGAAGTTACTACAATTTAAGTGAACATATACCATTGTATGCACAAAATTACAAACATCTCCTATTATCTTACCAAACATGACTACCTAACAGTAACTGGCAGCTATTGGGCATGATTAAAATGGTGATTAAGAAAATATACCACCCTGTCTAGAAGACTTCTGTTAGAAGACCTGTCACCTTAATTTGTAGAATGGAAACATTGCAGAGTTCTAAGGTGAGATATGATTTATGTGTCAATTTGAAAGGAAGGAGGTCATTACAATCTTTGGCACATCACTGTGAAATCCCTCCAACCATATTTCTCAATCAAACTACTTCCCTTAATTTGTCTTTTTCGAGTAAACTCATCTTCCAATATTTAACTTCAATTTCTGCCAAATTAGCAGGCTTTATCATTAGAAATTGCAACATCTAATATGTGTAAGCACAATTTTGAATCAATTTCCTTTGGAACTCAATAATCTGCATTCACCTCCATATGGGAGAAGCGCTATGCTAGCCATGCCAACTCTTTACTTCTTATTTCCTAGAATCAAGCAGTCATGATTATAACAACTATAGCACTATGCATGCTTCTATTGCTTAATAATTTGAGTTATCAATTAGTTTACATGGTCTAACTAGATGAATTTGGTTGTAAGCGTAACGAGCCCTCCAGATACAGATATACAACAGTTTTCAGAGTACTCCTGATAATTCTTGTTGTACTCTCATGATGGTAATGAAGTGGAACAATGATGCCTGTATCAGCTATGTTATCATTTTCCCAAAGATCAATATCCTGTGCAGGAAAAGGAGATGAATGTGATGAGAAGAAAGTCAGCCAATTTACCCTTGTACCCTCGAAGACTGAAAGAGATGGCAGAAAAGACAGGAGGAAGCAGGAGATACGCAAAGAATAGGGCACCACCAGCACCTACAATTGTAATAGGGTCAGCTGATAAGATGGTTTCCACAGCAGATGAGGCTACAGGCTTGGCATCTTCAATCACTTTGGTAGTTTGTTGTGCTACATCAGAAACCGTCTGCAATGGAAAGAAAGTCATGCACTTTTCTGAGTCCATGCTGTAAAAACAAAAGCTCAAAACAATGGAACTTTACTGGAGATCATTATCTAAGAACCAGGGAATGGTTATTAATTTATCCAAAAGAATTACTTGAACTATGTTGCAGCAAACAAGAGTACAAAAATGCTAGAGAACCCAGGTAAGTGATTCTAATACCAATTGTAGGATCAAACGTATTATTGAAAGGAAAAAAACCAAATTGTTAACTAAAATCCCAATAGAAAGGCAACTTAAGATTTGTTTCAGAGTAAAAAGGAAATTAATGGACATTCATGTTGTCTACTTGTATACTGAAATAAACGGACAAAGTACTCTGAATGTTCTTTTGGTGTACTGTAATTGAGACTCATTTACTATCTTTGTTTGACATTGAACCTAGAGCTACAAAGAACACTAACTAAAACAAATCCTTATCTCAAACACTAGCAATTTCTAGCCATGTACATCATCTCTTTCTGTGTCATCCAATTCTAAACCCAGAAAACTAAGCGTAAAGCAATGTCATGGTCCATTGCAAGATATTGAATATTCCCTCCATCCCACCATCTTGATCCATTCATTTCCTTAAACTTAAGATCAAAAGAGAATACTTTAGTCCAAGTCAGTCAACAAAAATGGTTCAAAATACAGGTGACACTCCTCTTTCCCCCATTTTTCCTCTTTCAGTCACCATATGAATTCAGTTAAAGTAACCAATCTATGTGAACCAATAATATGCACCTCAACAAGCTCAAATAGCGACACTAATTGCAGAATTTCAAGTGGAAAGATAACTAAACCTTAGCTGCAGTTATCACAGGCTCTGTGTCAATGCCAGAGCTCTGAATTGCCTCTTGAGCTTTCTTAGATGCCTCTGAAATTGCAGGGGAAGCAAGCTTCAGAGCTTGCTCTCCTGCCTGCTTTAAAATAGGCAATGCAGCATCAATCCCAGGCTTCACAACTTCAACCGCAGCACCAATCACTTTCCCCGCGACATCAAATATACTCGAACCCACATCTTGAACTTGATCAATCGTAGACTCCACCTGAAAATTTCAGCAAAAAAACGCCTAAATTTTCATGAAATCTGCAGTCCCTTGTGAAGAATGTGTCAAAAACTTGGGGGAAAAAATCCCAAATTTCACCAAAAATTGGTAAACATGATCATATTGCTTAAAAATATGTCAACTATGGTTCTAGAAAATGTCAATCAAAACATAAAGCTAGAAACAATAATTAGTAAATACAAGAAATTGTAGCAACAATATTCCAAGAAAATGCATTGAAAATTCCAAAATCAACTAAAAGCTTTAAGAGAGTTCTCTAACTTTTTACCTGATCGAGAGAAGAGACTATTTGTTCCTTAGGGAGGCTAATAGCTCTAGCTTCATATGATGGAGCTGAGAAGAGTGTAAGTATAGATAGAGCAGTCGAAGTAGGGAGTGAGACTACTAAAGGGTTGGACTTAAACTGATTACTACTTGGTGGGATTTTGGTAATGGGAACAAAAGTTTTGGACGGTGAAGAAGAAGATGGAAGTGGTGGAGGAGAAGGAAGTGGTGGTCTAGCGGTGGCTGAAGAAGCTCTGAGGGCCATCACACCTTCAGCCTCTTGCCACCGCTCCTTCAGTCAGTCAGTGTGTGTTGTGTGTGTGTTTTGATCGGTCGATTGGTTGGTTGGTGGGTCGGACAGGGATTTGTGGTCGGAACTGGAAAACGGTCAAGTTAATGCTGATTGGTACATGTAATCCTACCTGGCAACTTTAGTTCCAGCTAAACCACAAAAATCATGACACGTGGAATTAAGGATGAGAGATGGACACCCCTCGTCAAGAAACAAAAGTTGGCTGTATGCTGCCCATGCTGAAGTACAATTGTACAAGGTTAGTACATTAATATTTTATTTTTTCAGTTACCGCGTACATTCTTTAAAATATATAATTAATTATAAAAAGTAAATAAATACAATATGGTAGATAATATTAAATAAAAAATATATAAATACAAAAAAATAATAATTATTAGTATGTATGTATATATATATATATAGTAAGTTAAATGAATAATATGTATGTTAACGAGTGCTTAGGGCACCTGTTAAAAAATCATGTTTTTTTTTTTCTGTAAAAGAAGTTTGTTAATTGTTTTATAGCTCTTTAAAATGTTACTAGCTGTTACATTGTGAAAATCTTAATTACGAGCCATTAGGATAATGGTTCCGGAAGGTAGTTCATGCATTACCATACTTAGCCATTAAACACGTGAAATCAGTAGAATCTTCATTTCACTTTTACTCATTCCTTACCATGATATTGATGTTTGTTGGGGGGGAGAGGGTTGAGTTGAGTGGTACGGAGGAAGAGAGTGTAAGCAAGAGGTCTCGGATTCGAGTCCTCCCGCTACTACAAAAAAAAAGAAAAAAAAAAGTTTAAAAAAAATGATTTGGATGTTTGTTGAAGTGCTTAAAAGTGTTATTAAGAATACATAAAAGCATGAATTCAATTGCTTTAGATCTTTTTTTTTTTCCAGAACATTTCAATTTAAAAGTAGATAGCACCTTTGCCTAATTTGTTTTAGATATCTGAAATTAAAAACTTCATCTTTCAATATGAAGTTCATTTGAAGATTGATTGTAAAGTGAGTCGGTCTTCATAAAAGCAATAGTCTGTTACATGTTACAAGGGAGGAAGTAATGAAAAAGAGGTAATAAAAGAGATGTAAAAGAAAGAATTTTGATGGACAAAAGAACTCAGGAAAGCATTAGGCCACCATAAAAATTTGGCTGCAGCCATCTGATTTTACCAATGAAGGCAATTTATAATGGAGGCACGCGATGAATTCTGTACCAGTTCTCCCCTGCACGATCTCGAGCCTTCAGTGCGAATTCATGGGGCATATATCCTAATCTCAGATCCTTCAGACTAGTCAATGGATGCAATCCCCTCGGGAGAATCTTCAGTTGTTTGCATTCTACAATTTCCAACTGTTTAAGGTTGCACAATGATCCTTCCTCTATCCTCCAAGTCTGTAATGTGAGGAAAGAAAGTTTCAGCAAATGCAGTTGAGGAAACCCTCCACTTGAGCAAACTAATTCTTTCCCCACGTACGCACATTGTTTCAATTTTAGGACTCTAAGATTCTGCAGCTTCTCCAGCTTTGGCATGGGATCTTCCATCAAATAGGAGTCTTTCAATGATAGCTCCTCAAGGTTCGGTGGAAAATGTTCAACATCATAGAGCTTCTTGATATATCCGTCCAGATGCAGCTTAGAAAGAAAAAAATGATCTGCAAACATCGTTGACTTGGGGATCGAAAGACGGGTTCTGTCAAAGTCCTGAATTTTAGTGTGAGCATCAACCAGGAATGCTGTAACTGGATTAGCGTGTAGCTTCAGACATTCCAGGTTCTTTGAGTTGAGAATCCACTTTGCCAAGGCAACTTCTTGTGCATACAGCTCACCATGCAATTCCAGTTCTCTAAGGTTGGTCAATTTGTCCAAGCCATTCTCAATTCGACTCTTTTGGGTAATGCATAACCCTTGCAAAGTTTGGAGATGAGTTAGAGCTGCATCCTTTGGTGGATCCACAACCATTTCTTTCAGTTCATTGAAGTACAAGAACCGCAGGTTCAGCAGCTTCCAAATTGCAAGGGGGATCGGACTAATCAATGTCGACCTCAAGTCCAAAGTTTGCAACTTCTCAAGGTGGCCAATTGTTGATGGAAATCTTTTTAACCAAGTTTCTCTTAAACTCAGGTACCTCAAATGGATGAGATTTCCTATTTCAGAGTCCAGCTGAGTTAAGTAAGCGCCTTCTAAGTCAAGCACGCGCAAGAGCTTAACCTTCCTTGGTTTGAAATTCGATTCAACTGAATCAAAGCACAGCAATGAACGAACTTTTGGAGTGTTCTCTGTAATGGAGATTTCTCCAGAATGAATGCCAAGTCTGCGACATCTTGTTGTAACAGAATCAGCATTGACATCTCCATGGATGAAATCAAGGAAGTGTTCCTCCTTGGCTATTGAGATTGAAAGGTCTCTGAGAAGGTCATGGATTCGGCATGCTTTAATCCTTCCATTGGACTTCCTTTTAGCCACTTGAACCATGTTTCTTCCAATAAGCTCTTCCAAATAATCTTCTGCCACATCTTCAAGGGGTTGTTGACCTCTTGGCAGCACAAATCCCTCTGCAACCCACAGCAGCATCAATCTCCTTGCAGAAATTTCAAAATCCTCAGGGAAGAGACCAAAGTATAAGAAACATGATTTCAAGTAGTGTGGCAAGTCCCTATAACTCAGGGCCAACACATCTCCATATTGCATTGGTTCTTGCCTCAACTGCCAATGCATACTCTGAAACACCTTTTGCCACTCGTTAAAGGTTGCATCTTTTCTTGACAGCAGGCCACCTAGCACCACAATAGCAAGTGGTAATCCCCCACATCTCCTCAGCATCTGCTTACCTAATTCTTCAGCCCATGGTGGCAAACTTGCAGAGGATTCCCAGTCTAATTGCACCATCTTGGAGAACAATTTCCAACAATCCTCGTCATTCATTAGGCAGAGTTCATGTGGGGTACTTTTCGAGTCAGCATAGAGAGCAACATCTTTAATACGGGTAGTAAGCAGAATTCTACTCCCATTTTTCTCCTCAGGAAAGGCTGCTTTGAGATCATCCCAATCTGCAAAATTCCACAAATCATCCAACACTATAAGATACCTTTTACTCTCCAAAAAACTTGAGATTATCTCCCGCAATTCTTCATTGCTTGCTCTTCCAAAATCTCCTCCTACATTTCCCATCAATTTTTTCCCCAGTTCTTGTAATATCTCTCTTGCTCTAAAATTTTGAGAGACATAAACAAAAGCACAGCAATCAACATGCTCCTTAAGATCAGATTTAAGGTAAACTCTCTTGGCAAGAGTGGTCTTGCCTATACCTGCCATGCCGACAACTGAGACAACACAACGCCTTGATTCTCCATGAATCAACTGTGATTCTATTATTTTTACATCTTCAACCAGACCAACAATATCCTCGCAAACATGAACAGATGATCTTCTCCTCTCTTGCAGTCTGCTAGCTGCAAAACCAGCCCCTTCTGTCCCTATTCCTATATTTCCAATTCCGTATGTGGATTTTCTGTCACTAATCTCTTGGAGTCTAATCCTGATTCGTTTTATCTGATCATTCAACTTACGACATAAGACCAACTCATTAAAGGAGAGGAAGTACCTCTTGAGAAATGTAACAAGAACTCCCCTCTGCTGTCCTTGTACCAGACTGTAAACAAAAGAGTCAAGAATATCATCTGTATCATATGCAACCTCCCTCAAGTCTGCAACCCAATTTTTGACTCTTTCATCAACATCTTGTCTTGAATCTACGTCCTTGATGAAGCACTGCATTCGCCTCAGCTCCCCTTCGACCCATTCAATCTGATCACGTAGCTTCAAGTCCTTTGGCCATAAACCTGCAGCTCCCTCAATCAGATAGTCAGCAATCTTGTCCAATAGTAAGATAACCACTTGTTCAGCCATGTATGTTGTTTTACACTTTACTTAGTTTCAGGGATTTTCAGGCCTGAAAGAAAGTGTTTTCAGACTGTTCTGAAAAGTGAGTGGTTGAGGTGTAATTGACAGTTCAAAAAAGATCAGGTTAAGTCAACTCCGTAACGAATTTTTGAGTGCTAGTCCAATGCTGTTTTGACATTGTTGAGATCCTTTAGCAAATAATTTACTACTTCTGGAATAGTTGCGCACCAAGGTAATTTTAAATCTCTACTTGAGTGTAGATTAGGATATCAAAAGTTTTTGACTTACATTCTAATATTCAGCCTTTCTTGAAAATATTTTGCATAGACATTCATTTGGATTGACGATGATTCATCGGTTTCTCCTTGATCTATTTAGATCCTCCCTCCCCTAATAAAGAAGGAGTAGTTATAGTATAGAATCTATCGTGTCGATAAAAAAATTAAAAAAAATTCTTTAGTGATTCAGGATAGAATTATTGTTTTTTTTTAATCTCATGGTCAATTTGACAAGAAACAAGTTATCAAGAAACAAATGGCAGCCATATTTGACTAGAAAAATGGAAGAACCTTTACGTGCTTAATAAGATGAGTTTGTCGTAGTCAATTTTGCTAGGTATAAAGTTCAGTAAACCATATATAGATGGGCAAATTATCCAATTGACCCTTGAACTCTTTGTCTAGATAAAAATAAGCCCCTCATCTATTTTTTGCTGACTTTAAGCACTCGAACTTGTAAAATTGGGCACCTATGACCCTTTTAGCCAGTTTCTCCGGTTTTGCAACCGGAAAACCAATTCACACGAACGCCGGTGTGCTTCTTTAAAGGGCATTTTTGTCCGCATCTTCTAAGCAAAAAAGGGAAACTCCTCCTTCTTCCCTCCATTTCTGCAAAACCCTCGCCGTAGCTTTCTCAATCGCCGCCCATATCATTCAAACCCACTTTAGAGCCTTTCTAGTTCGCAAATCGAGAACCCTCCGGCAGCTCAAGGACCTTGCTTCCATCAAGTCAACTTTCAACACTCTCAAATCTTCTGTCTCAAAGAATCTTCATTTAGATCCTCAACTTTTGTTCCGCAAAGCCTTAGGATTGCTATTCAAACTCGATTCCATTAAACCTGAAAAAATAATTTCTGGGTTAATGCTCTCAAATGCTTCTTCACTAGTGCGTCTTTCTCGAAAGTTATCGGCTCAAATGAGGCAAACAAGGAGATAGTGGGATTTCTGTAAAGGGTGGTTGCCCCCTCTCTGTTTTAAGCCTAAGATTTCAAACGCAAGCAAACCAACAGCCCTTTGATTTAGCAGACTGCAGAAATAATTCTTGTACTTCCATTGAGGTTTCTGACAATTTCACTTTGCACCCCCCACATGCTGAACGCTTACTACCTCCTCCTGCTGTGGATCATGCTAAATGGCTGTCCTATATTTACCATGAAAAGAGGCTGTGATGATTTTATTTATTCGCAGAGCCGAGTTGGGTCAGGCAATTGAGCAAAATTGACCCGTATCTTGGCGGGGCAACCCCGGATGGCAGAATTGTTGGTACCAACCCTGACATGCAACCGGTGCTGCAGCCATGGCGGTGTCAAAGTCTTTTGCTGACATTCCAAGGAAAGCTGAAGAAGTTGGGGGGATTTTGCAGAAATGGAGGAAAGAAGGGGGTTGTTCCCTTTTTGCTTAGGAAATGCGGACAAAATGCCCTTTGAAGAAGCACATTGGTATTCGTGTGAATTGGCCTCCCGGTTGCAAAATCGGAGAAACTGGCTAAAAGGGTCATAGGTGCCCAATTTTACAAGTTCGAGGGCTTAAAGTCAGTAAAAAATAGATGAGGGGCTTATTTTTACTTAGATAAAGAGTTCAAGGGCCAATTGGATAATTTGCCCTATATAGATTGTTTATTGGTTTAGAGTTTAGACAATGGCGACTCATACCTGACAAATATTGAAAAGTTTTGCTTGCTTGTTGCAGACTCAAACTACTCACAAGCTGCAACCACCTTTGCAGAATTTTCATATGTTTCTGGACGGTCAGTTTACCCCTTCTACTATCTCCAATTCCCCGTGGGGATGCACGTGAGGCGAGCTACTCGAGAGCGGTTCGATCAATGACTTGGCTCGAATTCGATTTGATAGAGTTCGAGCCGAGTCTCGAGCTATTCGAACGTACTTTCGAGTTGGTTTGAGTCAGTATTTTGGGGCTTGTGACTCATTGAACTACTCGTCGAGTCGGAATATATTTAAATAATGTATATTATAATTATAAAATGACCGTTATAGGTATAATTTATACTGAATTTACAATGTACTCTTCTTTATAATAAAATTCTATAATGGCAGAATTGTACATTTTCTGAGTGGAGTCAAAAAGTTTGATTAGACTCGACTTAATAAGACTTGACTAAAAGTCGAGCCTTATCGAATTGAGTCTCGAAGTTAAAGGGATTTTTTCGAGTCAAACCTTGAATTACGATTTTTTAGGCTCGGTCGAACTCGGGCTCGAGCTTGAGCCTAGTTACATAAGGGCCGAGTCGAACTCGAGTATAGCAATACTCGAATCGACTTAATTCGATTACATCCCTAATTCCCCAAATTTGTAGGTTGCCAACTGAATTGTCACTTGCACTCTTAACTCAGTGGTCACCACCAAAGTTGGTGGAGTGGGAGTTTGAGGATCAAACCCTACCTCCCACCATTGGCTACAAAAAATGTGACAAGCAACTTCGAGTGGCTTCCAGACGAGAGCGTCATGCACTCATCTGGATTAGTAGGTGATTCAGTTCCCTTCGATTTCTCCCGACCTATTTAGGTCCTCCCCTCCCCGTAGCATAAAAATACAAAAATTGTAAGTTTATCGTATCGAAAAAAAAACACCCACTATCAATTTTTTATATGCACATTTGTTATATGCGTTGAATGGGATTACAAATCCCACATTATCCAATTCATGAACCAAAAGGAGCGTTCCTAAGTATATGAATGATGTTATACGTAACTCCCCAGGTTTGATTGGCGAGTTTAATGGACGGATATTATCAAACCTAAAACCAATTTTAATTTAGGCATTAATTACAAAGCTAATGCATCTCACACATTTAATACAAAAATAATTTCTTTTGTTACCGGAATCTATTTTATATTTTTCTCTTTTTTCTCCTCAAGATACCATCTTTCTAGTACAAAAAAATTACATAGTTAAACTACCTAAACGTCAAGAACCATATTCTGCCATTTGTAGAAAATGATAAATACAAAAAGGGAAAATGGTCAATTTCATCTCTAAACTTTTTTGCTCATACCGATTTAGCTTCTAACTTTTATTTCTAGTCAATTTAATACTTGAACTTATTTTACAGTCCTAATTAAGAACTCTATGGTGGCATCACTATTTAAAACTGATTTTGCTCCAAATTGACTAACCATACAAGGCTTTTTTTGGAAATATCACTCACAGAAATGTAATAAAACAAATAAATTGTGTAAAAATATCAGACAAAGCTTTTAAATCGTGTAAAAAATCACCCGATGAAACTTCTTTAAAGTATAATCTTGAAGCTTTTTACATGATTTATTACATTCCCAAAATACCTCTGCTTAGCTAGTCAATTAGAAGCCATATTAGTTTTAGTGGTAGCGCCGCCATAAAGAACCTTAATTGAAACCGCAAAATAAGTTCACGTATCAAATTGGTTATAAATAAAAATTTGGGATCAAATCGGCACTAAAAAAAAGTTTAGGGACTAAATTGGCTATTTTTTCATTCAAAATCCATCACTGCACCTATGATGGGTCCGAAATCTACGTGCTCAGAAGCTGGCTACTTTCATCTTGTAAGAAGCTACTTAATAATTGCCCCAAGCCTATGATGTTACAATTGACTTGACAATCGACTTCCCTGATGGCAACTCCCAGAATTTTAATGCTTCCTTCAAATCACATATCTAAGATAGCAGTTTGTTGGAGCACTACTTTTACTCTGTATCAGCCAAATTTCTCGAGACAATTTTTGAACATAGCTTCGGTCAATTTGAATGCAATTACCCACAACTCTCCTGACTGCCAGATTCCATGCAGGTTCTTGGAAATAGAGTTGGATCATGCATGCAGTAGCACTGTAGCAGTATTGGGTACCTGTGAAGCCTCTTTTGCGATCCATGTGCGTTTGTAAACAATGGCGGTCTTGGATATCCGATCCCAAATTCAGCCTCTCCAGAAAAGGAAGAAAACGAGCCTTAATCATGCTCATCCCAGGCGTTGATCATGATGATGGGAGGAAAGCCTGTTTTTATTCTATGGACGATCAAGTTTTTGTTCAGGAACTTCCAAAACCAATCCAAAATACTTCCAAGTATCCAATGTTTTCGATTGATGAGTTCATGTGAGTGGCTGTTGCTCTTCAGTGTTCTCACTGGTAATAACTTGATGGATAAACTTGATATCCATGTGCTTATGGAACCTTCAACCAGATGTCGCAACGAAGTGCTACAAATTGATCTTTATGAGAGCTTCAAAATCTCGTCAGTCAGAAAAATATTAGCCGGGCTTTGTTATGATGAGAGCGCTCTGATGGCCACAAAGCAGTTCTATATATCCGCAGAATGAGAAAACAGGAAGCAACCGAGGTACCTGAAAGTCTTGTTCTTGTTGCTAGTTTGAGAAGCAAAAAATTGAATTTGATAAATTTCCCTTCCAGTCGGGTAGATCAGGCCCTTTCCTCGACGGGCGCCTGCATTGGATAGTTAAATATACCAGAGACGATTCCTACTCCATCATTTATTTTGATGCAAAAACCAACAGATTTCCCAATCATCCAATTCCAGAGCCTGCTTTGCATAATCAAGGAGATTTAGGTGTTACGGTGCATTGGGGGACTGGGAGTTTTAGATGAATGTCTAAGCAGCATGTTTGGGCCTGGAAAGTCAGGAGATCAAATATGGGAGAAATTTCTAATATTATGATGATTTTTAAAAATTCTACAAATGGGGCATTTTGTGTATGGGATTCTGTAAAATGATTGTTCGCATTTGTCAAATGCAAGTTTCTTGAGCTCGCATTTACCAAATGCGAACTCTCTCTGAATTTTCCAACAACTGACATGCAAAAAATAAGAAAAAGAGGTCGAAGACCTCGCATTTAAAAAATGCGAGGTAGTACCTGACATTACTTTGTCTCTTTCACCTAAATCCAAAAACAGAGCTCCGTTCTTTACATCAAACATTCGGCATTCAAATCCATGAGCAGAGCGGCAGAAATTGGAACGAAACTTTGCACATCCAGCTCACTCTCTCTTGTCTTTGCTTAGCTAGACACCAGTCCAAGCTTCCAAGAGGAAATTGCCCGAAATCCCTCACTCTCTCTCTTTCTCGTCGGTTGTTGTCCGCCATTGTTGACCTTCCACCAGATTTCTGAGCTTCCACCAGACGCCATTTGCACGCCAGCCAGCTGCCATTTCTGCCTTAGCAGTCATCCCCAACCAATTTTGTGACCCATTGCGCTGCACATTTTCTTTTCCCTTCGCAAATGGCTTTCAAATTCGTGGCTGTGCTTTGTAGCTCACAAACAGCATAAAAGGCATGAACTTTTGTGTTCAGATTGAGAAAGCGGCGACCAAGAGAAGAGAGAGTGAGGAGTGAGCTGGACGGAGAGAGTGAAGGGAGAGTGAGATAGACCTGAATGCTGAAATTGGGAACTCTGTTTGTGTTCAGATTGAGTACCTCGCATTCAAGAAATGCGAGGTATCTCAGCTCGCATTCTCCAAATGCGAGTTTAATAAGCTCGCATTTGCCAAATGCGTGTTTGTTTTTCTTTTTTTCTGGAAACACTTACCTCGCATTTGTGAAATGCGAGATATCTAAACTCGCATTTCACAAATGCGAAGATCACATTTGTGGAACCAACTTCACAAATTACCTCCTTTGTAGAATAACTTTTTTTTTTCATCACAATTAAAGAATTTTCTCTCAAATATGGATGTCCCGACCATGAGAGAATATGGCGTGATGGAGTCTTGAACAATTTTATTTAGCTTATCAAGGGAAGAAAAATGGTTTCTACTAGGCCAATCTACACTATATATAAAAGTCTCATGAACGACTGATTTACGCATTAGTGTTTCTGGCTCATAAATATGAAAGATATGAACTAATATGAACTAAAAAAATTGTTCAAAAATGTTAGAACTTGACAATTAAAACTTTGATCCTTGGTCGACACCTATTCTTTGTGACCTGCTGATTTTTTTTTTTCTTTTTTTGGTGACCTGCTGATTAATTACTTCTTTGTTTGCATATCGTAAATGGATCAACTCTTTGTGATCTAGCTACTTACTTCTTCCTTTGAGAATATCCTTTATTAACTATTAAGTATTAAGACGCAAGAAGAGTTTCTCCTTGATCAAATCAAGGTTGGTTCCGGGATACGGCTACGCGAGGGACGTGGTATACCAATCGATTTACTTACTAAGCATCTCTATCCTTTAGATGATTTGGATGTAGAAATAGACGAACCAGACATGGTATTCAAGGGTTTAACTGTACATGAATTGGAAGGCCTTTATGAGGACATAAAGATGCATCTCGACTTGGACAAGGCAACACCAAGACACATGCAGTATTGGCAGCCACTTCTCGTGGTTTGTGATTGGGAACTATCTGAAGCTAGAAAAAGGGACTCATCTGATCAAGCCATTGTGCGTGGAGAGCAACTTCCTCCTGAACTGCTTGCCAAAGAGCAAGGAATGCATTGAAGTATCGAATCATATGTGCAGAGACTTCTGCAGGGGAAATCTTATCGCGAACTGGAAGCTCTAAGGTCTCAGGTTGAGGCGCAGATGCAGTCTGGTACAGCTAAGGTGGTCGAATTTTGGGAAGTTCTTCTTAGGCGCATTGATATCTTCAAGGGTAAGGCTTGTCTTGAGGAAATCCACGCCGAAGTACTTAGCAGACACCTCCAGCACCTTGAGAAACCAATAGAATTCGGAGACTGTGAGATAGACTTCAGTCCAAAGCCTGACAATAGAGGAGGACCCAGTCTGTCATGACGGGAAAGATGTTCAAGTTCTCTTGCCACAATGTACAAGGCGTGAAGAGAATCCAGAAAAGCATCGCCAAGAATTGGGGGCTGGGCCTCCTGCTCCTGATGATAACTTTGAGAAGAAAGCAGTGGGAGCCATGGAAGAAGGTGATGCAATTTTTGGCTGGAAACATGAAATTAATCTTGATTCACAGGTCTACTGGTGGCGTGCCAAGTACAGTCCAAGAAAGCCCAAGTATTTTAATCGTGTTCATACGGGGTATGAGTGGAATAAATACAACCGCAACCACTATGACCATGATAGCCCACAGCCAAAAATTGTACAAGGGTACAAATTCAACATTTTCTATCCAGATCTTGCTGATAAAGAGAAAGCTCCGACTTATGCCATCGAGAAGGATGGCAACAGTTTAGAGACCTGCATCATCAGGTTCCCTTCAGGGCCACCTTATGAAGACATAGCATTTCGGGTAGTTAACAAAGAAAGGGATTATTCCCATAAGAAGGGGTTCAAGTGCACTTTTGGACAAGGAGTTCTACGTTTGTACTTCAACTTCAAAAGGTATTAGTACCGGAGGTGATTGATCCTTGGATATCTGGTTCGATCGAGGGATGCTTTGTTGTAATTTTTCTCTTCTTGACAATATTGTAACACCATCCATCATTGGTATGTTATACGTGAAGAACAAAAATTCACAGTTGAAAGCGAATACAGCAAAATGTTTATTTACTGGGAGTAAACACAGTAGTAGACTAGGTAGAGCTATAATACAAAACGAAGAGTAATATATAGTTTATGGATGTCTATGTTTTGATAAGGTAGAGTTATAATGCAAAATACAAATACATTAGCTAACAAGAGCCTCTCAGCTTTGGAATTTTTCCAATAGCAATAACAATTGTCTTTAATTATCTCCTCTCTGACAATATCGTTTCAACATTTATAGAACTAGACATAACTCAGATTGACATAAATCTTTAGTGAAAATGACAGATCCAGTTTCAAATTGACGAATATTGCATGTATCAAAAATCCAGCCTAAATTCGATCAGAAATATTAGGTTTGTCATTCAAGATTAAGAAAAGCCTTGAGTTTAAAAGAAAAAATGTTCAGGAATGTGACGATGTGAGATGCAAGAAAGATATGGATGATGGTTTCCTGCTTAAGACCTAAACTTTAATTCATCAAAGAACGGAGGACATTTCGATCGGTTTCTGATACTACTCGTTTATACCTATATATAATCTGAAAAACAAGTCATTCTCGGATATTCCTCTCCCAAACAATCTCCCCGATGGAAAAAGTTATTACGTTTATTTTAATTGTGTCGAAAGTCTAACACCAGTTCTTAGACATGGTCCGAACTGCATGAAGCCCTGGAGCAGAACCCATGAAGTCCAACATGTACATTGTCATGTTGAAATCAGCTCGATTAACACTGTGTAATCCAATAGAAGTCCTTCTAATTTGAATTACTGCATATCAAAAATCAATCTGTGGGATTTAGGTACCTAAACGTAATAGGAAGTTACTCTCTGATTAAATTATGTAGCTTTTCTTTAGGTAATCATCTTTGTAGTATCTAATGAATATCTTTCTCGCAGAAAATTGATAATATGCTTTATCAAAACTGAGAAAATGACTTGAAACCAGCACTATTTATGATTTCCATTAAAATCTCATCGAACCAACTATGTCCTAGGAGCTGTGTCTAAGACCTTTAGCTATAACATCCAATTCCAATCTGTTGTCCTCGGGGATCCCTGTAAGATGCCAAAGCAAAGATATACTTTGAAGTAAAGTTGGGTAGGGTTGTTGATCTGTCCGTTCTGGGTTGTGCTTTTGCATAACCAAAATTAGCTGCAAGATTCTTTTCAACAAATGAGGAAACAAAGAAAGGAAAAACTAACAAAGAAACAGGAAGTCAGACGTAGATGATTTTTCCATCTCCTGATCTTTTATATGGTGCCTATAGCCTGATAACTACAAAAGAATAACCAACACAAATTCAAGCATTGGAGAAAGCACATTAATCTTTCAGCGACTAGAGATGTTAAAAACAAATGGTTATCAACAGTTGGCGACAAATTTGACAAGAAAGTATCAGCTTTCTTCTGATAATTTGCAGTACATAAACTGCTGTAGATTTATGCTCTAGGTTGATGAGCTAAAAATATAACGTTTTCTATACTGAGAGCATGTCAAAAAGACAAACGATGACACTCGTTAGGTGACGAGAGTTAAAACATTTTTTAAGCTTTCTAAGGAGAGAGAATGCCTTGAAGTCAGATTTTATAAAAACGTTGGTAAGTCTGTCTATTTTGTGGTTTTTTTGAGGCGTTAATTTGGTTTCTTGCTCTTGGATGCAAGCTACAAGAGCATTAATCAGAATAATCCTCACTATTATAATCAACAACTAGTGTGGTGGCATCAGCAACTTCAATAGCAGTCCATGGAAGTTGCAACTTGATGGAAATGAAGTTCACCTCTGGATAACATCAACGTATAGATCACAAAAGATACAACTAATTTCTAAAAGCAAAATTCAGAAGACGAAACAAACGATGACTGGAAAAAAATTGGTACCATTTTCAGAATTTCCCAAGATTTTGCTCCTCTATCAATCAGCTAATCCCAAAAGTGGCAGCAATTAATCCAATCTTGTATTTCATATTGATTGTACAAGTACAACTAGTAAGAATTTTGTTTCATATTTTGGTCTTTACCAAATTATGGACCAAGTACATTGGCTAGTTTTTGCATATTAATGCATGACTTCCTAATGTTGTCAAGTTCGATCTCTACCCCAGTGTGCTGGAGCTGATTTGTCTGCCATCTGCCATACTTAATCATACCATATTTTTTATCTTGTTAAACCATATGATCAACCAGGTAAGCCAAGGTTGTCATTATTTAAATCTCCTATTATTGTCATATAAATGTTGTTTAATACTTGATATAGGTTTATTCCCATTTATATACGCAGCAAATCCTCAAGCCCATCTCCATGGATGGTAGCATGGACGCTCAAAGCTCAAAAGTACAATCTCAGTCCCAAGATCCATTTAGAAGTCTACCCTTGCTGCCTATGATGGCAACAGCAACCCCTCCTGAAAGTATTGAAGTGCAAGTAGACATGGAAAGTCCAAGAAGAGGAAATATTACCATCCATGGAAGAAGAAGATTTTTAGGAGTTAGACAACGGCCTTCGGGAAGATGGGTAGCTGAAATCAAGGATTCATCTCAGAAGCTGAGGCTGTGGCTGGGGACTTTTGACACAGCTGAAGAAGCAGCCTTGGCTTATGACAATGCTGCTAGACTTCTAAGGGGAAGAAATGCTAAGACGAACTTTACATACAATGGAACCATGGATACGCGCGAAGAAAATCTTAGTTTGCTGGGAAAGAATCCAAGGCTTTACCAGCTTCTTAAACATGCCATCACGAAGAACCTGGCGAAATCCTCAGCTCTCGATTCTTCAAAATCTACGCGGAATTTTACTGATCAGAGTGTCGTTGAAGGAGAAAGCAGCCCTGTTGATCATGTTGTAACAACAGTTGAAGATAATATAATTGGAAATGAAGATCATGATCAGTCTCAAGAAAAACGTGAGCTCCGGAGGATCTCACTTGGCAGCTCAAAGGTGTATTCTTCTGTTATTGTGGCTCCTTCTTTCAGCGCTTCTTTAAGTCAAGGAAGAGAAGAACCAGAGAACAATTCTCGGGGGGCTCTGTTTAATTCACTGTTTTATCAGACAAATGTAATGTCCCACAACAAACTAGTGTAAGCTACTGTTTGTTAATTATCTAAATCAGGCTTCTTTCACCTGAAAGTTAAACATGTTTTCTTCCAGTTCAAGGCAGAAACTATAGGAATTTGAGGTGTGCTTTTCTTGGCAGTGCATTTCTTTCCATGTTCCTCAGCTAGTTTAGCATCCATTTCAATTTCGAGCCATTTTAGGTTTCTTTCTTAGTTGCTTTATCCTCCAGTTTGCATTTTAGTTCACCCTTTTTTTTTACCATCTCCTGTTAAAAGTCTAACAAGATTTGTTTTAGTTCTTCTTCAAGTAAGATAACATCACTTTAATTTCTCAATTTATTTGCTGCAGAATATTTTTCCTCAAGTGTCGGTGGTAATGTAATGGATTTAACCTGAAAAGTCAAACTATGTGATGAAAGTAATCCACAGTATTTGGCTACTTATAAGCACTAATCCATCAGTTGACCCTCAAATTATGACTTTATGTTTCACTATTATTTTCGAATTAACTCATGTTTATTTTACTTCTAGAGTTCAATTTCATTAAGATGTTACTAAAATCCTATTCAAACTAAATTAACTGCTACCCAAAATAGTAATCAGTTACATTTTCATGGCCTCATCGGAGAATATGGTGATCTTTTTTTTTTTTTTTTGAGTTTATCTAATTATTGGAACTTATCCATTAGATGACGTGAAACTATGGTGATTTTACATCACCCAATAAATTGTCTTCCACAAAATAAAAAAAAAGGTAAAAATTGAAAGTCACAGGCACATGATAACACAAACTAAGGCTCTATTTTATAATCCAGTTCGGCACATAAAACTTAATGGATTCAGATCTTAACATATTCAAACCGTTTGATAATAAAAATTGAACATATGAATTAATTAAAGCGGTACTAAATTTTCTAGATAAAACTTGCTTCCAAAATTAAGTGATAAGTTATTCACTTATCACTAAATATAATGTGTACTGAAATGTATTAGATTTAATATTTAATAATTTAATGAATTCAAATCTCAAATTTCATATTTCAAACTTTAATTTTCAGATTTCAATTTTATCAAACGCACCCTAAATTATAGTCACCCTCTTGATTTTAATATTTTCATATTGGTATCTATCACTCACCACTCATGAATGACGTGATTTTTTGACACTTGTCAATGAATCCATTAATAAATACGAGATTCATTGGAGTTCTCTCCAGCCCACTTTCGTCATCATCTATATTCATACTTCCTAACAGCAAAAGGACCACTGGTCCAACAACAATCAAAAACTTATCCTTTTGCGACTAGTGTGAACGAATGCGACTCCCACTGAGGCAAAACAAACAAATCAGGCCTAGTACCTGGTGATGGGTTTTTGGGGACATCAGATATCAGCCCTTCTGAATTTTTTACAAAATTTTCTCTTTTTCCCTATTCCTGTGACAAGCCCTGAAATCTTCTTTAAACCCCAAAAAAAAAAAAAAAAAAAATCATCGAATACTCTTCACCGTGTACCTTGAGACGTTTTATAGACTTTCTTGCGGTATTACTATATATTTTTTTTATAGGATTAATTTTCTATATGCACTTTCACCGTTAGCTGTACGACACATAATTCGAATTTAAATGTGAAATATAATTTTGCATATGTGTCGTATATTCAACCGTGATAATGTATATAAAATTTACTCTTTTTTTTAATATATAAATAATCAAATTATTAAAAATCGTCCAGCACAATTTAATCTACATCACTGCCTTGCCCTAATGACAGGTTAAACATGCAGTCAGTATTAGTGTATAGCTGACACTTGAGACGCATTTGCGATCGCTATCCATCTTACTTTGTAATGCATCATATAGAGCTGAATAATTGTAATAGTGACGATTGTTAGCACGCCATTGCTATCTTTACTTGTCACGACGACATAGATATTTAAAATTATCTCATCAGCGTAGCCATCATTAAGATGGCTTACTTTTTGTCATGTTGCTCCATCCACTACAACGCTCCTTAAATTAATGTCAATGCCTAGCATCATTTCATACTTCCCATCACCCTCATTTCACCAACGACACATCATTCATTTGGGATGCACCAATATAAAGCAGAAAAGCACAAATCTGCTACAGTAGTAATATAGCAGCCTAATCTTTTTCACCAATTCCTCATCTGCATTTCAAAGGATGGTTGCTTTTTGTCAAGGAAAAGAACTTCGACGGAGCAAAAGGGCTACGAGAGAAAGGAGATATCCATGGTGGGAATTCGGTATCCACAAATCGAATGGCCCTCAAATCATGGGCAGCAGCATTCCATTTCCCCAGATGGATCAGAATGATTGAAAACGCAGGCGTACGAGGATCTTCCCGGAAGCAAATTAAGCCCCATACAGGAGGACTCGGCTTATATTGGATCTGGTTGAATAAATGCTTGACTCGACTGGAATTTTCAGGTTTTGGCATTGCGAATTTGATCCCATAAGGGTTGAATTCAAGCTTCGTAGATTCTCTGGCAATTTGGTACACCCCATCCATACATAATGGGAACACAACATAATGACGCAAGGCATTTGTGTAAGCTTCCCTTTTAAGCAAAACGAACAACGCCAAAGTAATACACTTTTGACCGCACACCCCATTGACAATGACAATCAATTGGTAAAAGAATTTGGTTCTCTTTTTGTCCTCCAAACTCTCTCTATAGGGTATTGATTTTTAGGTCGTTCAGGGAAGTCATGGTTCTATTGGACCACCACTTTGATCTTTGTTGTGCTTCTGAAATTGTCTGTGACATCATCTCCACAAGTTAAAAATCTCCATCTAGTACCTTTTGGAAAAAAAATTGCCGTAAATCTGAAAAATTTTACTTGACTTTTGGACTAGCAATGGCAAGCCTTACCACTAGAGTTCAATTTTCATTCCATTTTCCCCAATTCAGCTAATTTTTCCACGAGACAACAACAATATTAGCACAAGCCTTTTCTTTCATTCATGTCATTCCATACTTATTATATGCCGATTGAAACATCTCAAGATTCTTTTTTTCTACAGTAAACTATCCAGGATAAAAAGAAGGGTAGGAAAGAGTGAAATGAACCCCGAGGCAACCCTTTTTACCTCTAGTGAAATACAAACAAATACTAGTACAAACTCCCAAGGACAATTAGCCAGGCAACAAGCTGTATCAAGGTGACAAAGTTAGATAGAAAATGGTTTGCCGGTTGACAAGATTTACAGCTAATCTGAAATCAACCCTTCATAGACTAGGCTTCTCAAGTACCGCCAAGCAAAGAGCCCACATAATTAAAAGAGTGACAAATCATCTACAGCACAAAGTTTAGTTTCCTGTCTTCATAATTAAATTATAGTAGTAGTTAACATATAGATAATAGACATGCTAAGTCTAACTAATTGCACTTACATGGCATGTATGGGTTACTTTTATCAGATTAAGGCTAGAGAACACACATGATACCCTCCAAGAAATATATACATACGTATACAAGGAAGGATAAGGTGTTTGCAACACAAGCTAAGTATAAACAATAAACACAAGTAGTAGTAATTAATGGGAGCTAATCATGGACGACCCAAAAATACAACCGTGCATGCATGTAAATTATTGGGTAGGGAGAAGTCTACCATTATTCAGTGGTGCCCTCTTGATTACTGAAACAAGCAAATATATAATTAAAAATGCACCAATGAAAAAACATAAAGAGTTATTTCCCAGTTCCCCATATGTCTATTCAGGAGTTTGACTTGGACTTTGAGATCCAACGTGAAAAAACACAATACAAAAGAAGAAAAATATCCTAAAACGTTTTACCAAAGAATTAAAGAGAACAAAACAGCAAAGAAAATACAAAAAAAAAAAAAAAAAAAAAAAAAAAAGGATCGTTCAAGAACATGATGGTATTAAAAGAAAGAATAATAAGAGAATGCAAATGGAGAAAGGGTTAAGCGCTGGATGCAGAGGTTTATCGACCGATTCCTGTTCCAATACTCTTCTTTTTTTTTTTCTTTCTTTTTCTCATGCTTGGATTTCAGGGAACAGATCGATGAACCGCTGCCTCCAGTGTCCTCAAGCCTTCCACTATCCACAAGAGCCAACTCATGACACAAAAAAAGAAACTGAAATAATCACATAAACCAACGAAAAATCAGCATTCCCACGGATCTTTTCAATGGGTTTTCAGCACAGATCTGAGATATTCAAGAATTAGAGATTCATACATGGCTACAAACAGGGAGAAAAACTAGTACTCATCAACCAAAAAGAAAAGTCTTCTTCCCAGCCCACTTTACACAACCAAATAAGCGAACCCGCAAAAAATCTAACAAATCAGGGATAGAGAACAGGGGGCAAAGGGGGCATGGGATAAAAGTATACCCATAATCCATAGCTGCTGCATCTGCTGCTCAGTGCTCTCAATCGTTTATGTAATTGCAGTGACGGATACTCTGTGTGTGTTTTGTGCGTGATTTGGGTCTGTGGGTGAGCTGTCATATTATAAGGCGTGGCCTGGAGTTTGATGTGGATTTACTAGTTTAACCATGTGTAGTCATTTGGAGAATGCGGTTAGGTGGAATTATGGGAGGTTATTTTGGTCAAATAGCGCATGGAGAAGCTGAAGTGTCGGGGTGAAATTGGAGTATGGGGGGAGGGGGTCCATACTGGAGAGTTAGGCAGAAAAATACACGTGTTCGGATACTGTTTAAGGAATCCTCTGTCTCGGGGGCCAGAACGACGGCCCATGTGACCATATAATCACCAATCACATTAACTTAAGCCTCCTAAGACCTGCCTATTTGGTCGAACCTTCCGTTCCCAAAAAATACATCTTACTGTATAATAAAGCGTGGGATTATAATATATATATATATATATATATATATGAATAAGGGTTTGGTGTTAATAAAAAGTGTTAATATTTATTTTTTTAAAGTATTCTTTCAATATTTACCATTATTTATTTACATCTTATCAGAAAAACATCTCACCTCTACGTAACTAACACTACAATCTACACATAAAGTGTGAGATTATTTCAAAAAAAAAAAAAAAGTGAGTAGAGATTTGATGTAACAAAAAGTGTTGATACTTACCCTTCCAAAATTACTCTTTCAATGTTTATTATTATCTATCCACATCTTATTTGAAAAACCTCTCGCTCCTATGTATTTATCATTATCTATCCACATCTTATTTGAAAAATATCTCACCCCTACGTAACTAACACTACAATCTACAATCTACAATCTACACATAAAGTGTGAGATTATTAAAAACAACGTGAGCAGGGATTTGATGTAAACAAAAAGTGTTGATATTTACCCTTCCAAACTTACTCTATCAATGTTTACTATTATCTATCCACATCTTATTTGAAAAACCTTTCACTCCTATGCAACTACCACTACATAACTATCACTACACTCTTGATGAAGTGATTAACTAATTTACTTATGAACATTGCATCACCTCCCAAAATCTCTTTAACTAAATTTTTATTCTATATATTTTTTATTATTTCCCTTTTTCTAAAATATGCAAAAAAGAGTGTGTACCTCACTTACTAGTTTATACTATGTATGTAGGGAGCATTGAATTCAATGCAAATTTTTTTTGTCACTTTTTGAATTTTCAACTTTACCCTTACAATCACGAAATTATGTCTTTATCATCTCATTACATGTTGCCTATATTATCATAACCGTAACTAATTTTCACCCATAACCACTCACAAACACGGTAACCATTAAGTTTATTAAAAAAACTTTAAAAAGATCAAAGATTTTTTTTTGTTTATGAAAATTTTATACTAAATTCTTCCATATAAAAAGTTATTGTTCCTAAATGGCATGCCACACATAGGGTGTGCCCCTATCACTAGTACCAATAACGAATGAGCAAATTTTGTACATATTGGTAGCGTGTACATCATTATGGTTAGATGCATGATATACATAATATGCAAAATTTGTATCCAAGTCTAAATTTAAGTTAGTTGTCATTCATCCATACCTAACAGTATATAATGTAATGGACTTGGCATTCTGTGACAGCCCCACCTCCTCCTAAGGCGAACCAGAGGGTAGGCGACCCGCCGAACCCTGGGGTACGCCCTAGGGAGAGGTGGGACCGTCACACATTCGGTGATCTCCAAGATCATCACAAGTTTTTTTTAATTAAATAAAATTTTAAAGTAAGAGAGGGGCGTGATTTAAGAAGCGAATAGAAGAAATAGAGAATTCAACCCTAATCTTAGAAACCCAACCTTAACCTAAGACCTCTGACTTTAACTGCATTGGATACATGATTATTAACTAATGGATTCCTGTGTTTTCTGATTAGAATCTTAAGTTTAAATAAATTTTTTTTTTTTTATCTTTGTCAGTAGATTAGGCATTAGATACACTAGCAAGATGCACCAGAATTTTACAACAAATCATATTTGCACTATACAGTTTAATTAATTCAAGATTCATTAATACTATACAGACAAAACATTAATCCGTGTACAATTTTTATTATGTGGATCTGTTCTCATCCCTTTTTATGCCAAAGAATTCATACTATCTTTTAATGGATCATTGCCATGATGTTGCCTCGCCATCTTATATATAATTTCCAAATGACTCTTAGTGTCAGTCATGGTGCAGGATATTCTCTTACGCAAAACCCCTATTATTACATTCACATTATTCTCTTTGGTTGGTATCATTCTAGTAATATTCTTTAGTTGGTGTAAGACTTGCAATATATAATGCACTATTTTTTTACTGGATTAGTGCACATCAAAACTTATACCAAATTGTGTTTTCTTGGTAAAATTTAGTATATTTTTCTTTGGTGCTATTATGCAACAACAGTACACCAACCAGTTATTTGCTATTTTCATGAGTTAAACTGTGCTATAGGTATGTAATTTTTACTTTTTTTTTTCTTCCTTATGTGCTGTTGTAAAACTCTTGGGAGATTTATAATTGAGTTAATATGTGTATTTACACATTGAAGATGGGCATGGTGGAGAATGTGAATAGGTACGACAAAGTTTCTATTGCATTTTGTCCTTATTTGCAAATTGGATAATATTATAGGAGTTCGTGATTTGATTCGTCAACTACATCACTTTTCGAATCTACAACAGGACCAAGATAAAGTTAATGGCGACATGGATGCATATCATAGGACAAGAGAGTCAAAAATTGCAGATAATCCCAAAAGAATTTTATTGTATGGATGGAGAATTCTTAACAAGACTTGTTATTACAGGATGATTCCTTGGTGGTGTTGATTCCTCAATCTGCTATGGAAGAAAGAAAGCCCCCGGGGCATATGATGCAGTAGTTGAGGTGTCGGTCTTGTGTTGCTGATTTTTTTACTGATTATGGTTCGATTCGTGTCTATTGCATCGCACATTCTAACTCGTTCGGGAAAGCTGTATGACGCTGTCGGCTTCCCTCCGGTTTGGTGTGCCGGCTCGGGTCCAAAAGGCTCGGATCGGGCATATTATGGATTACCAAAAAAAAAAAGGCGCTTTTGCAAACTGATACTTTGATATCAAACATTATTGTAGTGAATATCATGCTATGTCTAATGAATTTCGAGCTCATCTTCTCAACATATAACCAAAACAAAACAAAACAAAAAAAAGAAAAAAGAAAATCTCCTCAACATAAACTAAACCTTAGCTGCACTTTGTTATCGTACAATGATAAAACTCATCATCCATATTTAACCAAAATAATTGGAAAAGATTGATGAATTGTTTAAATGACCGTCGTAGAGTTACGAACCTTACTTTCCATCAATTACCACTTAATATGTAACTTCTTCTAAAATTGAACTAGTATCTAGAGCGCCTGTCTGGCTCGATAATGGTTTAGTCTCAACAGGTCCCAAAGCTCCATTTGGACTTATTTCTCTTCTCCCATAGTTGCCATGTAATGTCAAAAATAAAATAAAATTCGTACAGCCCAAAGAACAAGACTTGTAAACTCTTTTGTACGAGTCCCATAATCACCACTAGTAAATAATACTAATAACAAAATGCACACTCGATGTGTGTGCAAGAAAGGAATGTATAATATTTATGGTGAATGAATTTTGTATAAAATTCTCATTATTAATGCAAATTTTAATCTTTTATATTTGTTTGATAAAATGATTGTTATGTTGGAATTTACTGCTTAAGAGTAGTTATATTGAAAAATATGTTTAAATAGTAAATTTGAAAAATGCTAATAGATAGTTATGCTGACAACATGTGTTTGGGTGGTTAATAAGTATAATTTTTTACAAGGGTAAATATGAAAGTACACAACAAAATGTTTACACCAAACCACCCTTCTCTCGCTTTATGTATATGGTATGTATAGATGATCTACACTCCGAAGTTAAAAAAAAAAAAAAAAAATCAAAAAACCCTTAAATTTGGTGTGTACACAAATGACATCTACAAGTCAGGACGGTTCGAATGGATCAAATCTTTACTAGCAACAATTAATGCAATAGCCAAAGGGTCCAGCATCGGCCATGCATTCTGCAGGATAATTTTTTGAGATTTTCTTAATCATGCTAATAAATACTAGGGAAAATCGTCCAAAACGTCCCTCACATTTTGTAAAATAACTTTTTTCGTCCCTCACTTTTAAAAATGTAATTTTATATCCCTTACATATTCACATCGGACAAATTTAGTCCCTAACTAGGTTTCCGATCATTTTTTGGCCGGAATCCATCATATGCAAGGCACATGATCATTTTTTAAGGGTAAATTTGTCAAATTATATTTTACATAATCTCATCTATAGTCCTCCACATTTTATAAAATAAATTTTTTCGTCCCTCACATTTCACAAAATGAATTTCTCCATCTCTCACATTTCACAAAATGAATTTCTCCATCTCTCACATTTCACAAAATGAATTTTTCATTTCTCACTAATTATGTGTGTGAATACATTTTTTAAACACATATATATGTCTATTTGATTTTGTTTAATAATAATAGTATAAACACATGTATGTAATTGGGCCCAACTTGTGGGCTATCTTCTCTTTTTGTATGATTAAGACTAATATTTATCAATAGAACCTTAATTTGCATATTCTTATTGTATTTTGACCGAAAATAACTTTATTGGCCAACTTGACAATGAATGCAAGATTATTTACTAGCTAATACCAAATGAAATCAAATGATCACGTATAATATATGGTATTCGTATTGTTAAGTGAAATCAAATAGACATATACATATATTTATGCTATTCGGATTATTAAGCAAAATCAAATAGACATATACTTGTGTTTAAACAAAATATATTCACACACATTTTTTTTAAGGTTTCCCTCACATACATAATTAGTGAGGGATGAAAATATTCATTTTTTGAAATGTGAGGGATGGAGAAATTCATTTTGTGAAATGTGAGGAATGAAAAAATCATTTTATAAAATGTGAGGGACGAAAAAATTT